CAATTTGAAGTTTTGGGCATTCAATTGTTGAGATTTGGGGTGTTAGCCAATATTGGGGCTAATTTGAGGATTTTATCAAAAGATGGTCAAATTGACCAAATTGGACCATGGTGTAGTTGGACAAAATGGAATTGGGAGTATTTTGGATTTATTAATATTTTTTTGGGAATTTTTGGAATTTTTGGATTTTTGGGCCATGGAGGGGCATTTTGGTAATTTGGTCATTTTTGGAAATTTTTATCAGTTTTGGCAAATTTGGATGTATTCAAAGTGTTTGGAATAAGTTTTGATCAATTTTGGGTATTTTGGGCAAAATTTAAGAATTTTGGCCAAATTTAGGTCCCAAGGGCAGCCAGGCAAATTGGAGGTGCCTAGGGGTAAAAGGCCCAAGTTAGACATTTCAAGTAGAATTGGATAAATATCCATTCTAAATGAGTCATAAAATAATGTATTGTGAAGATATAGTGTACCCTAGTTCCAAGTCAACACCCAGGGTCAATCCTAGGCCAAATAGCCCTATAGGAACTCTTCTTGAGCTTCCCCCATAATGATCTTACCTACTAAATATTAGAGGTTAGGACCAATATGTGGAACTTCAAGTTGAGTAAAGAGAAGAGTTTTGAGTTTCTAATGATGAGGGTACCCTTTCTAGTCTTCTAAGACTAGTCTATAGGAAAATCCTATGGCTAGACCTAGGCTACTAAAGAAATTTCTAGACCTCAACCAAAAATGAGGTCAACAACCTGATCTCTATCTTATGGCTCGATCTGTGTCGTCTATTTCAAATAGAATGGATCGTACGAAACTCAATCATTATCTTCTACGTATCGGAGCTCGCCCACCTTGCACCTTCTAGGGTTAAGATCTCACGCAAAAGTGCACTAAACCTCACTGTGACTGCTCCTAAAGCTAGATCTAACTTTAGGGAGTATATTTATATCGCTAATGCTCACTAGATTCACCGTTTCTCTCACAAAATACAAAATCTATGAGCAATTTAGGGGTTTTTGGTCATACGAGGTGAGGCCTCGATTAGGGTCTACATAGATGATCGCCTTGGATGCACTCATCTCCTCCAAGCTTCAATTTGTAATAAAATTGGGTCTAAGCATGTCTTGAACCACAAGGTGGCTTGGCTTTGCATTGGATTTTGGTTAGAGACAACGAGACAGAGGGGATTTGATCGGGAAGAAGGTTTTGGACCTCTGTGGAGCTTTTCGGATGATTAATTTTTATTTTTTAGAAGTTTGGTGGTGAGGTCGGGGAAGGCCCTAGTTTTGGTGAATGAAATTAGGGTTATAGGATGGCGGTGAGGGCTTAGAAATGGTGGGAATCAGTTGCATATGCCAGTGGCTAGAAGTTTGGTGACAAATAGGAGCATACATATTTCTTACCTCTTCCAAGCATAAAAAATATTTGCTAATTTAAAGTTAGTTCCAGCTTATGTGGTTATGCTGAGTAGATTCTAGCCTCTCACTTCTAGATTACCCACCATGTCCTCTGTATAAGACTAACCAGGGATCCTTAGTTCCAACTTTAGACCAAATTGGTAAATGATCTAGCCCGTCATGTTAGAAGCACTAATTCTACGTCCATCAGAACTTATCTCCCTATTCATTTGCACTCTACCTTGGATTTGGCACCCCCTTTCTCCAATGTTTAGTGTAGTACTCACTAGTTGGTCAAATCATAGCCCTCTTGGGCCATTATGTTTCACAACAGGCTTTAACATCACAAATGGACAAATTGCAAAGTAGATGAAGAAACGATGAAAATATCATCACAAATTGTTTGAATAAAATAAATCTTCAAAACATTCTAATTTCACACATCATTATTTCTTATTGCAAAGGGAAAGAAAAGAAAAATACTCATAAATCATGGGGATAACAAACAAAACATTATATATATATATATATATATAAACCAAGTTCATAAGACAAATCTTAAACAAAAATACAAATACTTATCTCAAACTTCTCCCCAAACAACCCTTTGAAGTTTTTTGATAAAACTTGACTCCACAAGGCACACATAAGACTCTACAATCACCAAACTCCCACTATAGTGGCCTCCCACCCCTGTAGTGGCCTAAACTACTAAAAAAACAAAGTTTTTCTCTTCTTCTCCCCCCTGAACGTGTAGAAATGTTTTTTATATATAGATCTTTGAAAATAACCAAGGGTCACTTAAGGCACCTTTTCAAAATTCATCCAAATTCATTGAATTTTGGCATAATTGTTTCTAGCGCATAGACGCCAGCCGTTGAGTCTCCCTGACGCCTAGGCACCAAGTTACCTTTTTTGGTTTTTTGATTCAATTGACCCATTTTCTCTCCATTTTCTCTTAAAATTCATACCTGCACCTAAAATCAAAAACACACAAAATATCTTTCATTAAAAGGCAATACCATTAAAAATAAGCATGAAATACACATAAAAAATAGGTAATTTTAAGGAGCGTCACAAGTACAACCTTCAATTATCAATTTCAGCTACATCATTAATGGATTTCTACTTGAATGTTCTTTATTTTTAAAGTTTAAGGATATCCAAATCCACCCTTAGGAGTATAATTGTAATCCCCCTAAATCATTCATCTTTCATATTTTAATGAGTATTAATATGATGGGTTGATTATATGCTCTTAAACATATTTAAGATATTAAAGTGTATTAAATTTTATAAATGAGTTTCATTTACGTTTTATGTGTTAGAGAATTTTTTTTATTAATATTTTTTTTTAAATTTTACCCTTGAGTGTACATTTGTAATTCTCTGAATTCCCTCAATCTTAAGTTAGATTTTGTTTTACTGAGTCTGCAAATCTTCCTTGAATGTTTTAAGAGGTGAATTAAGAGTTTAGCCTTCTAATTATTTTAAATTAATATTAGTTAAGTTCTTCTCAAGTGCAATTTTCATAATTTTTTGGTAATTATGCAATTATCATTTTCTTATGCAATCTTACCATTTAATTTGTTAATTTTCCTTAATTAATTGTGTTCTTAGATTTAGAAGCCCTATTATTAGGATTTCTACGGCAATTCATTCTATTTTGATTAAATTTTGAGGCAAAATGGCTGTGGCTAATTTTCAAGCTTACAAACCTACCTTTTATGTGTTTTATGTGATTTTTAATTTCAAGAGGTTAGAATTACTATTTTAATTAACAAATTCAGTGGTTTTATTTTTATTTTTAATTTCCAAATGTGTTTATATTTTTTTGGAGTTTTATTTTATTTTTAAAATTTATTCTTTACTTCATTACTATTTTCATTTAAAATTAGGGTTTTCATAATTAGAGATAGCCTCTATCCTTGAAAAAATCAGAAGACATTCCCATGGATAGAGGGCACAAGTCCTCCAAATTTCATTAATTTTACATTTAAATTTAAATTTTTTTATTTCATTACTCATTAAGGATTTTATTTAATTTTAAAAATTATCAAAGGTCAATTGACTTAATTTTTTTTCCTTTATTCCCGCTGTTTATTGAGCATTTGGGTATTTATTTCATATTTTTCTAGTCTATATTTATTTAGTTATAAATTTTTAAATTCTATTTTAATTTTAGGATTTAATTAATTCAAAAAAATTGGATTTTTCAACTTATCCAGACGACGCTGACTTGATTCTAGGAGTCGTCAAAAGTCCATGCGGTGTTCCGCTATTTGCTCCGTTGCCACAAGTTGTCACGCTCGCACTGATCTACTGACCTGATCTCTATCTTATTGCTCGAGAGGCGTCATCTGTTTCAAAGGATCGTACGACACTCAATCATTATCTTCTACGTATCAGAGCTCGCCCCCCTTGCTTCTTTTAAGGTTAAGATCTCAAGCAAAAGTGCACTAAACCTCATTGTGATTGCTCCTAAAGCTAGATCTAACCTTAGGGATTATATTTATATGGCTAATGCTCACTAGATTCACCATTTCTTTCACAAAATACAAAATCTATGAGCAATTTAGGGGTTTTTGGTCATACGAGGTGAGGCCTCGATTAGGGTCTACATAGATGATCGCCTTGGATGCACTCATCTCCTCCAAGCTTCAATTTGTAATAAAATTGGGTCTAAGCATGTCTTGAACCACAAGGTGGCTTGGCTTTGCATTGGATTTTGGTTAGAGACAACGAGACAGAGGGGATTTGATCGGGAAGAAGGTTTTGGACCTCTGTGGAGCTCTTCAGATGATTAATTTTGATTTTTTAAAAGTTTGGTGGTGGGTCCGGGAAGGCCCTAGTTTTGATGAATGAAATTAGGGTTATAGGATGGTGGTGAGGGCTTACAAATGGTGGGAATCAGTTGCATATGCCAGTGGCTTGAAGTTTGGTGAAAAATAGGAGCATACATACTTCTTACCCCTTCCAAGCATAAAAAATATTTGCTAATTTAAAGTTAGTTCTAGCTTATGTGGTTATGCTGAGTAGATTATAATCTCTCACTTCTAGATTACCCATTGTGTCCTCTCTATAGGACTAACCAGGGATCCTTAGTTCCAACTTTAGACCAAATTGGTAAATGATCTAGCCTGTCACCCTAGAAGCAGTACTTCTACGTCCATCAGAACTTATCTCCTTATTCATTTGCACTCTACCTTGAATTTGGCACCCCCTTCCTCCAATGTTTAGTGCGGTACTCACTAGTTGGTCAAATCATAGCCCTCCTGGGTCATTATGTTTTGCAACGGGCTTTAAAATCACAAATGGTCAATTTGCAAAGTAGATGAAGAAACGATGAAAATATCATCACAAATTGTTTGAATAAAATAAATCTTCAAAACATTCTAATTTCACACATCATTATTTCTTATTGCAAAGGGAAAGAAAAGAAAAATACTCATAAATCTTGGGGATAACAAAACAAAACATTATATATATATAAACCAAGTTCATAAGACAAATCTTAAACAAAAGTACAAATACTTATCTCAAACTTCTCCCCAAACAACCCTCTGAAGTTTTCTGATAAAACTTGACTCCACAAGGCACACATAAGACTCTACAATCACCAAACTCCCACTATAGTGGCCGCCCACCCCTATAGTGGCCTAAACTACTAAAAAAACAAAGTTTTTCTCTTCTTCTCCCCCCTGGACGTGTAGAAATGTCTTTTATATATAGAGCTTTGAAAATAACCAAGGGTCACTTAAGGCACCTTTTTAAAATTCATCCAAATTCATTGAACGTTGGCAAAATTGTTTCTGGCGCATAGACGCCAGCCATTGAGTCTCCCTGACGCCTAGGCACCAGGTTACCTTTTTTTTTGTTTTTTGCTTCAATTGAGCCATTTTTGCTCCTTTCTCTCTTAAAATTCATACCTGCACCTAAAATAAAAAACACACAAAATATCCATCATTAAAAGGCAATACCATTAAAAATAAGCATGAAATACACATAAAAAATAGGTAATTTTAAGGAGCGTCACAAGTGAAACCTTCAATTATCAATTTCAGCTACATCATTAATGGATTTCTACTTGAATGTTCTTTATTTTTAAAGTTTAAGGATATCCAAATCCACCCTTAGGAGTATAATTGTAATCCCTCTAAATCATTCATATTTTAATGAGTATTAATATGATGGGTTGATTAATTGCTCTTAAACATATTTAAGATATTAAAGTTTATTAAATTTTATAAATGAGTTTCATTTAAGTTTTATGTGTTAGAGAATTTTTTTTACTAATATTTTTTTTTAAATGTTACCCTTGAGTGTACATTTGTAATTCTCTGAATTCCCTCAATCTTAAGTTAGATTTTGTTGTACTGAGTCTGCAAATCTTCCTTGAATGTTTTAAGAGGTGAATTGAGACTTTAACCTTCTAATTATTTTAAATTAATATTAGTTAAGTTCTTCTCAAGTGCAATTTTCATAATTTTTTGGTAATTATGCAATTATCATTTTCTTATGCAATCTTACCATTTAATTTGTTAATTTACCTTAATTAATTGTGTTCTTAGATTTAGAAGCCCTATTATTAAGATTTCTACAGCAATTCATTCTATTTTGATTAAATTTTGAGGAAAAATGGCTATGTGGCTAATTTTCAAGCTTACAAATCTACCTTTTATGGGTTTTATGTGATTTTTAATTTCAAAAGGTTAGAATTACTATTTTAATTAACAAATTCAGTGGTTTTATTTTTATTTTTAATTTCCAAATGTGTTTATATTTTTTTGGAGTTTTATTTTATTTTTAAAATTTATTCTTTACTTCATTACTATTTTCATTTAAAATTAGGGTTTTCATAATTAGAGATAGCCTCTATCCTTGAAAAAATCAGAAGACATTCCCATGGATAGAGGGCACAAGTCCTCCAAATTTCATTAATTTTACATTTAAATTTAAAATTTTTTATTTCATTACTCATTAAGGATTTTATTTAATTTTAAAAATTATCAAAGGTCAATTGACTTAATTTTTTTTCCTTTATTCCCGTTGTTTGTTGAGCATTTGGGTATTTATTTCATATTTTTCTAGTCTATATTTATTTAGTTATAAATTTTTAAATTCTATTTTAATTTTAGGATTTAATTAATTCAATAAAATTGGATTTTTCAACTTATCCAGACGACGCTGACTTGATTCTAGGATAATGGAGTTTTAGTCATAGGCTTTTGGGCCTTAGGCTTTTCATTTAACAAAGATTTCGATTTTTTATTTTTTTTATGACTGTTAATTCTAAATTTCATGATTTATTAATTGGTGATTTTAATTTCTTATATCAACTTGACCTATTTCAATTGATTTAATTATTTATGAATTTTACTCCATTTTTAATTTAGGTTGATTTAATTTTGATTAATTTTGATGAGTTTAATTTGTTAGGGTTTAGGGTATCTAATTTTAATTAGGGCTTTGATTTTGGTTTGTTATAAATGATGAATTGTGGTGGTATTGATTTTAAGTCTTCTTATGCCAATTGGCTTAATTGATGATTTAATTTCTTTATGTCAAAATTTTCTTATTTTAGTTTATTTGGTTTTAGATGGATTTAGTTTTGATTATATTTGAAATTGATCTTTGGATGTTTAATGAAGGTTAGATTTTCACTTTGATTTCAAGGCATTTAGCTTTACGTTCTAATTTTTAGTTGGTGATTTTTGAGAATTTTAATAAATTCTAAATTTCAAATCTTATGATTATAATTTTTTTGGATTAATTTTAATTATTTGATTTCTTTTTGATGATTTAATTTTGATGATCTTTTTTTTTATATAATTTTGATGATTTTAAGAGTTCAATTTTAATGGACCCATCAGAAGGTAAACCTTACCTTGATCTAAAGTTAGCCTCATACCCAATGAACTTCTTTCCAAACCAAAGGAAGGTCACCGGGCGTTAGGGGTGCAATGTGGGCCACCAAAAGGGGAAACCCAAGCCTTTGTCAAAGGGTTACTTAGGACATTTCCACCTTTTGAGAACTCAACTTTAACGTCTAAACCGTAATTCTCTCAATCAAAGGTTAAGGAATTGAGGCCCAATGTATAAAACTCTAAGGAGTGAAGATTTGTCTGCAGTTTTATATTAATGTTAGTTCCTTCACTAGTAATTTAAGATCACTAGTAATTTAAGAAAGCCATTATGAACATCATAAGGCTAGATCCTAGACTTCCTTGATCCTAGACTTCTAGGGAAGATAGGCCTCATTCAAAAATGAGATAAACAACAATAATAACAACAATAATTATGCCAACAGTGGCAATTATAAGAATGATGCAATTATGATAATGGTGGCTATCATATTTTGGTGTGGGAAGGTAAAGCAACATTGGAATAGACAATCAAATAGAAGTTTAATTCTTATAATAACTTCTACAAGAAAATAACTAAAGAACAACGATTTTTCTTCCAAGCAACTTACAATATCACAAAAGAATGATGTCAACTATTTTTCTTTCAACCGAGTTACAATATCACAATATAATATATATAGTCATCATGAAATTGTTTACATACATATTGAGATACCACGTGACATATAATAAACATTTAATCGTAAGGTATCTAAATTATTCCGTACACCTCACAAAACTATACCAATAACTAACATTAGCAGCCTCTAATCTATTGTAAACAAAACCTTTTCATTCACCAATTATGACTCCGTTCGTTTTCCTGAAAAATATTTATCAAACAATAGGTATGAGTTATATTTATATTATATTAAACATAATGATGATATTACAATTCTAAACCATAAAAACTCAAAGTGAAAATATATACATATATACATGTCATCATATTTACACTATAAAGAAAAAAAACAAAACTTAGAGGTTAGATGCCCTTTGGGATCAGTTATAATTTTTATTTCATTGTGTCTATGTTTTGATATGAATAAAAACATATTTGGTTGATTGTTATTTTTTCAAAAGACTCAACATATTTTTTAGGTGTATAGAGTGATTTTAAAAACAAGTGATTTAAGAAAAAAAAGAAAAAAAATTAAAGTATTGCCAAATGGGCCCTTAGCTTTTCATTTCAATAAATATGAACAATACATTGCTCAAATATGTCAGTTATTTACAGAAATATAATAATAGAATTCAAGTTGACATTAAAAGTATGACTATGCACTGAGGAGCAACATTTTAACTACTGTGGAGGTGCTAGCAATGTACTATAACTAATAGAATGGAATATGTTTGTAGGGAGCTACCTAAAAGTTTCTTTCATTCAGTTAATGGAAGTAAAACTTTGTAATAAAACAAGTAGGGAAGGTCGGCTACATAAATACTTTTTCTCCATTTTGTCTTATTGATTTCATATTTTCATTTAATTCTAATAAATTAAGATCATTTTTTATACAAGTCCAGGCCTTAAGTAAAACATTGTAATATAAGAATAAATTGCTTAACATCAATTCTTATCCAGATATTCACAGGCCATCACATACTCTTCGGACGATCTTTACGTCTGAACAATGAGTACAAAATGAAGTCATAAAGAATCATATATTACCTTCAGGCAAATTAGTAAATAACATTCGATCAATGTTATCCAGACGCCTCTGTATTGATTTCAACACCAAATTTAGAGCAGAAACTCTCCTACGAACAGATGTAATCTTCGCTGCATTTTGCAATATGAACGAAGATGGTGCATCTTCCAGCAATTTGTCTAGCTCTGCAAAAATAATATATCCTTTTTGGTTCACTAAGTTAAGATACAAAAAAGGCATAGTGCATGTATTACAGAAATGTTAAGAAAAATGTTAAATAATTTGTCTAGCACTGCAAGAATAATATATGGTTTTCTTTTATTAATACTAAAGATATGCAAAAGGTATAATGTAGATACCATATAAATGTTACCTAAAATGTAAAGTACATAAGAGAGCACAGCAAGCGCCTCATATTTCTGCCTCATAAATCATATTGTCTTGGTTTTAGAATGATGGCACAAGAAGCAATGATATGTTATTAAAAGCCAACAGAGGAAGAAGATGATGAAATTGATTGCCAACAGAATAAAAACAAATACTTTCGTGGCAGCTGAGGTGAGAAGGATATCATTATTTTCTTAAATTGCCTCCCATAGCCAAATTATCGAAGTAGTTTGCACGGTATTACTCAATGCATTGTAGTCAAGAGAGAACAAATCAAAAAAATCTGCACTAGGAAAAAGGGTTTAGTTGATTGCTTTTGCATAGATGCATTCTTATAACTGCAGAAATTACAGCAACGGATGATTCATTTGTCCTTGCTCATGGATTTCCCACTTCGGTACAGAAGTTTAACAAACATTGGCAGCAAGAAATAAAAGAAAGATATAGCAAAAAGGACTACAAAACTGATAAAGAAACCTTAACAAATATGATTTATTATATAAGGAAATGGCTAGTTATTACCACCATCAGCCGTCCCACTATTTGGGGCCAGCATTAAGAATCCACCGTCTCCAATTAATTTTGTTGAGTGGAACATCTGATGCCAAATCAATTTTGTGCATTTTTTGCACAATTTTGCATGTTTCGTTTTCTCTGCCCATGTTTCTTCCAAATTCTTTTAGCATAATTCTATTTATGTAGCGTATTGATGCATCACTGGGGCTTTATTGTACGTGTTAATTTTATATTTTTAATGTCTATGCTCCCAAGGTCTCTAATAGAATAATTTCTTACTTTAATACTAAATAATTTTACCATCTACCAATCCTATTGTCTGAATCTTTGCAGTTCTATAGAGAAGGTCATATAACAAAGTTACTCTAATAGGAATTTTCATACAACGTATCTTTTCAAGTCCCCACTGTAACACATTTACATCACTTTTTCAATTTAACTAGTCCAACATACCTCAAGAAGTTATAATTTCCTTAAATTTTTATTCTCATATAATTTATTCAAATCACTTAAAACAACTAAATCCTAAGCATTATTTAAGATCTGATTGGGACAGCTTTCTATCTACTTTGTTTTTCAGACTGTCGCCACAATATTGTTCCACAGTTTTGTTGTGGAACTGTTTTCTTACTGCATTTTAGAAATTTATATGATAGAAAGATGTTTTTTCAACTTGAGTTGTTAGTGTGGTGATGATAGAAATGTACGGTCTGACCTTTTGAAAATAAAATAAATTTGCAATAGACACCGCAGTTTTTTGAAAAGTTGCTTCTTCTTAAGCAACTTCACAGTTGCTTCCTCAAACAGTTGTCGCTACCCCAAATAGGCTCTTAATCTTCTAGAAACAACAACAACAAAACCTTAATCCCACTACGTAGGTTCGGCTACATGAATCCTTTTTCTCAATTGCATCTTATTTAGTGTCATATTTTCATTTAGTTCTAACAAATTAAAATCATTTTTTATACAATAAGTCGAAGTCTTCCTAGATATACCTCTGTCTTTCTTAACCTAAGTCGAATCTAAAACATCTACTCTCCTCATCGGATAATCAGATGATCGACGCTTAATGTGACCAAACAATTTAAGAATACTTTCTCTAACTTTGTCTATCACAGGAGCTACACCAACCCTATCACGGATATACATTGAATAATAATTTCAAGTATATATCAACTGAAATATAACATCAACTACTTGATCTTTCTTATAAATGTCAATTGTGTATACTCTAAAATTTATCTCTTCAACCTTTTACTCCAAAAAATGGTGTTATCCATCAAAGCTAGGCTATTTAAAAGAGGTGCACTGATTTGATTTAAGTGTCATTAGAAACATCTTTCATCTTCATAACTATTATAAACTTTTATTAGAAATTTAATGGCTATTATTATTCTTTATTATTTGTTGCTATTATTTTGAATTATTAGCTTCTATTTCTATTTGTTACCATATCTATGTATTGCCTAATTAGTGTCTTTGTAGATTCATCTTTTCCTTTCCGCGAGTCTTTTAATATGTATTTATATCATTTGCTGCTATCAATAGTATTTGTTGGTTTTGTTGTACCTGTAGGTCTCTCCATGCACAAGTTCTGCTGCCGGTTCCCAGCAAGCCTCCCGTTTTTTTGTGGCACGCTACTCTACACTGGTTTCCCTGCAAGAGTTTTGTCGTCGGTTCCCAACATGCAATCCTTTTTTTTTTGGCACAGTTTTATGTGCTTGTCTCAGACGACATAACCTCGAATCATTCCTATTGAGTTGGACTCGATGACAAGCTTCCAGCTGCCTCACCAGTTTACCGCCCTGTTTGCCTCCTACTTGTCGAGAACCGCTTCCAGCTGTTAAACCTGCTCCATCTGACCTAATCTGTCCTCGACTGTCGAAGCTCCATGAAAGCCTTGTCTCAAGTATCCATCATCAACTTCGGCTCCGTCGTGATCATGGCGGATTCCTACACCACCGAGCCTCCTCCTGATGGTGTATTTAACTCCATCGGATGATTAACACCAATTTCAATCCCTCTGTAGACCAAAGGAATGGAAAATCACATGAACGTCTTAATCACAACGAATTAACTGAACGGTTTTAATTTCTACAATGATCCCAAGCCGCGTCTTTATTCATCAATGGAAACGGAAAATTCAGCTATCCAGATGTATGGAGTGTGGAAAGTGGAGAATTTCAAGGTTATGTCATGACTAATTAACTCCATGAAGACTACGATTGGTCGCTCGTACATGTTTCATCCTTTTGTCAATGCTCTATGAACTGCAGTTCAAGATACTTACTCAAATGTAGGAAACTCAAGTAAACTTTACGAGGTTTCCAAGAAGATCCGCAAGGCGAAAAAGGGATCAAGGACAGTGACCCAGTACTACAATGATTTGGTGGTCTTATGGATAGAATGCGATATCTATTATGACTACACGTGGGACTCTCCGACAGATTTTTCATTCTTTAAAAAAATGTAGAAAAGGATGGTATGATCCAATTTCTGGCGAACTTTAACAAAAACCTTGATGAAGTCTGTGGTTGTATTCTTAATGGGGATTCACAAATATTCAACATGAAGTGAGCCAGAGACTTGGTCATGCTCGATACTTCCACTTCAAGAAAACCATCCGCCTTGGTCACTAATAGTAAAGAACACTCGTACATGTCATCTAAGGCCAGTCACTCCATTTGTGACTTCTGTCACAAACCCAAACACACTCTTGAAAAGTGTTAAAAGCTCAATGGGAAAATGCTGACAAACCTTCAACTAAATATTCATCTGCTAAGGGTCTCATTACGACATTTGAGTCCATTACAGTACAACCGACTCTCGCTAAGAATATTTTTGAATCACCCGATTCTCTTAAGATTCATATTGAGCACTTAATTTAGCAGTTGGAATCCAGTCGATTCTCTTCCAGCCCGTCAACTTCCCACGTCCGTCAATGCACTATTCCTATGACACTCACTTCTTTTACCGCTTCAAGATAATGGATCATTGATTTAGGTTCCACGAACCACATGATTGGATGCTTTCAAGTTTTCTCAACACACTACCCTTGCTCCGAGAAAGATACTGTTAAGATCGATGATGGTTCCTGTAACTCCATTTTTGGAAAAGGGTTTGTTATTGTAACAACCGGTCTAACTCTAGAATTTGTGTTACATGCACTTCTATTGAAGTGTAATGTTTTATCTGTCAGTAAGTTGACACACATGACATTTATTGTATTGTTCATTTTTTTTCTAATATTTGTGTCTTTCGGGATCGTCGTTCCGGGAGGATTATTGGAATTGTACTACTTCTAAGAGAAAGGCAAGGAGAATGAGGACAATCCATCTAGTGGTTTTTGTTTTTTCGGCCCACTGAACGTCCTATTATGTTGTTGCATTATCATTTAGGACATCCCAATTTTTAATAATTAAAATAATTATATCTGTTGATGTTTACTAATAAAAACCTTGCTACTTTCAAATATGAGATTTTTCAGCTGAACATCACCATGTCCTTTATCCACCCCTTACACACCTTCCCATTTCTTTTCATTATTCATCGTGACTTATGGGGAGCCTCTCGTACACCTAACTACACTAATAAACAGTGATTCCTTGATTGATGACAATATTAGAATGATGTAGTTCTATATCTAAAAAGACAAATCTGAAGCTGATGTCACCTTCAAAAACTTCAATTATTCATTTTGATTCATTTCAAAACATCAATTCAAGTCCTTTAAACCAATAATGACCTTGGATTTTTTAACTCTTTATTGGGAGAATTCTTAAAAAGTAATAGCATTCTCTATAATAGCTCGTGTAAACACTCAACAAAATGGGGTAGTCGAGAGAAAAACCGACAACTTCTCAAAGTTGCTCGTTCCTTTATGTTTCAGTTTAATGTCGTGAAATGGTTTTAGAATGATATCGTGCTTACTGTCATATTCTCATCAATAGAGACCGCACAAATACACAACTTCAGAACCCCATTAGCCATCTTGATGTCTTGTTTCATACGAATCGAGTCTTCACTTTAGATCCAAAAATTATTGGTGCACGGCCTTTGTTCGGAATACTGCAACAAGTCATAGTAAACTAGAACTCAGTTCAATAAAGTATCTTCCTCGGATACTCTGTCACTCAAAAGGGCTATCGATATCTTGATATCACAAATAAACTTTATGTGAGTATCGATGTCTCCTTTGAAAGTGTCATCTACTTCCCTATCACTGTCTCAAGTGATAGGGAGCTAGATTTCTTAGACATTGTTCCTTATCTGACTTTTGTGG